ATGGGGCTCTTTATCCTCTAACCCACCGACTCCATGGAGGCCACAAGGGAGACCAGAACTGACTAAATAACTCTTAATTTGGCCTCTTTTTGAACAATAGATTGGCTTCTTGTTTAATAAGAACAAGAATCTTTTAATAATATCATTGGGTATCCAACGAGGCACGACGGTGAAGCCAGAAAAGCAACTTTGCGTATATGATTACCAACCCAGCCAAAGAAACAGGAGTACTTGCCCATTTCTCCTAGGAATCCAATAACCTGGCAAATTCAACTTTAGCACACATGATCACACGTTACTAGCTAGCAAACACAATTATTGCTTTTTAGAGATGGGGAGCTAGGTCAATCCATGTAATAAAAAAGTGAGATATGACACCCAAAATGTACAAAGTAGCTGCTCCAATTAAAGATAAATTATCCTAGAATTTGCCAGGGTAACTGGGTGAGGACAGCCCGGGTCTGGCAAAGACCTTTTCTCCCATACAACAGTTCATCCATATAGCAATCACTACCAAAAGCAGAATTGCTCTATTAGAGGGGAGAGGGAGAGACAATTGCGAGGAAGAGAAAGGGTCGTACAAAGAGAAGCTAATTACAGATGAAGCTTTTTCTTTCTCGGGAATCAGAAGCAATATATAAAAAGAAGAAACATATATAAATTCAAGAACACAAGAAGGATTCTACAGAAGCATTGTGGCACTAAGTGATGAGACTACTGCCTTTCCTGCCAAAACAACAAGTCTGATGCTATGCACACTCTGTAGGAATCTGATCAACGTTACCGAAATTTTTGGCATACTTGGGCCTCCATGCAGTTCTCCCTCTTACAATCTCTGCTCCATCCTCAAGTCGAAGCAAGTGCTGGCATTCAATATTACCAAACTTTCCCAGATTATCTACGTCTTTGTCTGTGACAGCAGTTAGGGATTGCAGAACACTGTCCCTCCCACACTCTCTCCTATACTCCAGTGTCATGGCAGAAAGCTCACGACTCTCCAAGATTGGCAGTGGAGCACTCTGCAAAAACCAGATGTTATATTTCAGTTAAACAGGCATCTATAGTTTTAGAAAAAAATTGGACATTTGAAGAAAAATAGATCATATAAGAGGAATTTCAAAACATCACTAGAAAATAGTTATTGCAGGTATTTTCAGCTTGCTTTCCTCTCATTTTAGTCAAAATTTTTATGTAGCTAGGCAACTTCCAAGCCAATAATGAGCACCACTACTAAGATATAATAAGAGATAAAAAAAAGACCCAAAAAAGAAAAAGGGACTGCTGGCAGAGCAAGTGTACCTCAAGGATCCAACCAATGTACTTCACATTGTTGACATGCTGGTTGACATCTAAATCACTCCATCTAGGCTACAAATCAGCAAATCCATTTTGAATAAGACGGAACAAATTGGCAAAAAAGAATTAATAGAAATGTCAATTATCATAAAAGAAAATTGACTTACAGTTAAACCTTTATGAACATAATCTGCTGTATTGTCCTCAAGTTTCACTAGTTTCCTGCTGTCTTCATCAAAGACAGGATCAGAGTTCATAAAATAAGGCTCTATTTCCCTTCGAACCTCTTCTGGTATTTTTGATAATCTTCTTGTAAGTTTGTTCATCACCACCCACACACTGCAGATCAAAAACCAAAATAAAAACCATGAGAACCCAGATAGGTTACCCCTGAGAAACAAAATTGAACATCAACTGCAATGGATTTAGTAAGTTTCTTTGTTACATTCTCTGGCCGGCAGAATAGTTTTTTTTTATTTTTTATGAAACTTCTTCCTTTTGGGGCCTCTTTCCAAGGCACCAAGAGTTTGATCTGTTTATTTCATTAAAAAACTTGAACAGATGTTCCTTTCCATAGGTGAATCATTACCATAAAATTTTATGGAAATTCATGCAATTTGAGAGACAAATCACAAAGAGACACAATCAAGGACACTGAAAGTTTGATGCTGTGCAAACAATTCCCTACCTAGAAGCCCTTGTTAAAACTTCACCAGTATTACAATCACGAAGAAGCCAATCACGACGCATACCATTCTTTCCAGATGCACCAACCCATGTGTCCACCTGGACAACATCACCCCTGCAAGATAGGGTATATCAGCCAATAGCTCATTGATGATTAATTTTCATAATACTGAAAAAAGCATAAACTCTGAATTAATGATTTAAATGATACCCCCAAAGGCCCAAAAACATCAAGATTCCAAAAAATCCAAAAATTCAATGCATGGGATGGTATGAATGAGGATAACAAAGAAGATAGAGCTAGCAGATAACTGGATTGTAGTCGACATTTGAAAATGGGAACTTATTTAAAAATAGGTAAAATACTAAGATATTGCTGACTGCTGATAAACAAAAAAAAAAAGAAAAAAGGAATTAACTTTTATTTTTGGTTAGACCTATAATCCGTATCCTCATCATCAGATAAGTTAATCGAGTACTCCTTACTAGATACCTAGATGGTGAGAAAAGCTCAACCTAATCGTATCTGTCTTTGCCATGATCCCAAAATTGGACTCTAGAACCAAAGAAAATGTAGTGAAAATAAAAAGTCAAAGATTGAATATAGAAACTCATAATAAAGTGTTCATTTATGCTAAACATTCAACCTGTTTTCCAGGTATCAATATTCCTTTGTAGAAAGAAAGCTATAGTCATTACCTAACCAAGTTTTAAGATTAAAAATCATGAGATGAATATTTTCATGCAATACAAGGTAATTAAACCTCTTCAACAAAAAATTGCTATGTAGATAGGCTTTGAAAGGAGATTACATTAAAATAGCATATGCCAGATTTTATCATTTCTTTCTATTCTACTTTACAGACAGTTCGTTAGCATAGCTACCTACTTAAGTCTGCTTCCCTGATGTAAACTGCTATATTAGTATATAAACTGAATCAAAAATTGATTCAATGAGATAAAATTAAAAGTTTTTTACCTAATATTGAATACCATATACCTATTCCAAAAAGCTCTAAAGGACCAAGACATTCATCACCCAGCACAAGTTCAAATAAAAAGGTAAAACTCACATGAGACAACCAGTTATGCCCTAAAATGATCATATGATAAATCTTAGGAATAGAGCCCTATTTACTAGAAATAGAGAACCAACAACCAAACCTGAGTTAGTTGAAAACTGAAGCCGAAAATTTACATTGGAATTCAGAAGCCTTTTGTAAATTTCTGTCAATCGAACAAACCATGCAAAGGAAAATGCTTACCAGGTAGGATACCGATCTACAACAACTTGCATTCGAGCAACAACCCATATCAAATTCCTTTTGCACATCTCAGGGGTTGAACCAAAGCCATCAACAAGTAGCCCAGCAGTTTTTACATGATTAAGGGCTGTTTCCTGCCACAAGGATAAATAAACTAAAAATTTTAGATCTTGGTCACATATCTGTAACTTTGAAGAACCAGCAGTTATTATTACTATTATTATTATTTTCTTTTAACATAGTCATCTTTCATTCAAGCCACTTAACCATGATAGAAAGACATCTAAAGATCAAGGAACGAAATTGAACCTGTAAATGATTCATTAATGTTTCTATAGATGCTGTACGATCAGCACCTATCTCATATGACCTAATTGAGAAGTTTTGCCTGAACACAAGACCATCCTGAACAATTCTCCCTATGCCAAATGGATCAATGAGCATATCCGCTCGCCTTGGCTTCCAATCAAGCATCATCCATTGCTTCTCTGCTGCCAGGAAGATTGTGGTGATAGCAGCAAGAAGCATGCTCCAATCAGGCAATTGATTGATAAATGTTCTAGGAGGTGGAGATGGTGCATCATCTTCAGTCTTCAAGCCTTCCACACGAGTGCCATTAATCTTAGGAGGGGCTTGGGCATTTGCCTTGACTTTCAAACTATGAGATTTTGACTTGTTACCTCCAAGATTAACAGATCCACCTCCTATCTTCATGTTCTTCACACTGGTATCTGGGGAAGAAGGAGTAACTGGAAAGAATGCTGATGAAGCAGCAGTGGCAACCATGGTGGAAAAATGTTTTTATTCGTTAATTAGATAGTGTTTGAACCAATCAGAGCACTCTTCTTTGAAATTCCCTCTTGAAAATTAAAAGGCACCAGGTTTTTACAACAGCAACTGAAGCTGGTACAGGTTCCAACTGCATAATATTTAGCAGTCAATAATCAAGTAACGTTCAGAATTTTACATAATCACAACAAACCCAAAATCCCATTACCTTCCATGCTAAAAATTTCACAACACCAAACAAACATATTCAAACATATAGCATTTGTTTCAAAATTTTCCTTGATGTTCACTTTTCTCTTCTACCAAACAAAAGAAACCGAAAAAAGTAGTTATCTCAAACCATATCAAAGGATTCATATCTCACATGTGATCAGAGTTTCCCATTAAATGGAAAAAGAAACCAAAAAAATAGTGAATTTCATATATTTTAAAGGGAAATTGCAGGCAAATTGTTAGGAAACTAAACCAAAAAAAACGCAACATGCAAATCACAAAAATTATAGTGAAAATCCCGAAGTAGATCTAGCCTTCCAACAAATATAAAAAAAAAAAAAAACAGCTTGAAAATGAAATCGCCAATAATCAAAACATGCTCACCATTATGACTCCATCCCATGATATATTGTAATCAAAAATAAAATTAAGAAAAAAAAAAAAGGTAACAGAGAAATGGGTACGAAACGGAAGCCAAAAGAACTACATTTGGTTGCGAAGAAAATGAGGGAAAACAGATCTCCATGAGTGGAAAGCTGACAAAAACAAAAGTCACAAAACGCTATACAAATTCTCATTTCCTTCCCTCTTAACTTTCTCAGCAACCAAACACAAAACGAACATATCCGGCCCAAAAAACACAGATCAAACAAGAAATGAACAAAAATGACAGGAAAGCGGTCAGGTACCATACCTCCACAAAAACCAGGTGTAGAGGAGCAGAGCCTATAGCGTCATTAAGAATTCCCAAACCCTTCGTTGCAGTCTGTTCTAGAGTTTGCGATCTGTGGATTCCTCGTTTGGCTTTCTTCTTTGCTTTTCTTGAAATTTCGTTGAGCTTTTGGAGAAAATGGAAAAATTGGAGAGAGAGAGAAAGAGAGAGAATGGAACGATGCTAGGGCCAGCAGTTTAGTGAGTGGTAGGCGAATGGCGTTCAGCGACTCATTTTATAGTGTCGATCTGGCCCGCCTCCTTCCTTAAGTTCCATTTTCTGGAAAGAGCAGTGCTAGCGGCACTCGCCTCCTGCACTCTCCGCCCAACACTTCCACTTTCATTGGGCCACGTAAGCTTGCTCCCGAGTTTTTGAAACGCGACTTCTTCGAACTAAATAACGTGGCCCAATAAAAATGGAAGTGTTAGCCGGAGAGTGCAGGAGGCGAGTGCCCATAGCACTGCTCTTCTGGAAAAGGTTTTGGGTTATTTACGGAATTATCCCATTCTGTGCTGTCGAGCTGTTTCTAATTTGGCTCAGCCTCTGCGTACCCCTCCACCTTTGTTTGTTTTCGGGACCATTAGTCTCGTTTGCACTTTTGTGTGTCTTAGCATATTAAAAAGGAAATATTTTGTACGATGGGTTATATGCTAAAAATATTGTTTATTTTATAAATTTTTTAAAATATTTTTAATAAAATTATTTTTTGTGTTATTTTATTAAAAATATTTTAATAAATTTATAAGATAAATTATAATTTTAATATATAATCT